CACGCTCAAGTGGACATCACCGCAGACTGGATATTGACTGGAGTCACGCAAGTGGTCTGCTGGGAACGACCGCGGAACTTTAACATGAAACAGGGCGGGAAGAGTCGATACTGTTCCATTAGGGCCGGCTTTGAAGTCCGTTTACGATCGCCACGGATACATGGGAAATAAAGTTTGACTTTTCTGTCTTAAAGTTCGTTACACAAAGGGCGACGGCCTCCTTGTAAGCTGCATGTCCAACTGTAGGATGGGTCGAAGGAAGTTCACGTTTGTGATGATAGAACGAAAGGTCGATCCGTGATTAAAATAAGAGCTTTGCATCGTGCCATCATAGGATTAGCTGGAGATAAAGATGGAGCCATTCCATATTTTGCCACAGACTGCTTACGCTGCATTAGGCACGCCATGTCGCCTGCGTGCACGGTTAAGTCCTTGGTGCTGAAAGTTGTGTGACCACAGCACGCGAGCCTTTGCCTTCCCCTCACCATGTTTAATGTCCAACATACGGCCTGCTTTGTGTGTGGCATTTGCAGTTGCTGGAGGTACTTTTGTAGTTACAAGAGCCTCCACCTTTTAGGTGGAAATGAACATCTTTACATCTGGCCACGATCTTGAATGAACGGTGAACCACATGAGTGGTTTTCCTGAAGAACCTATATGTGCCATGGTGTAAATATTTCAACGTTTTCCATCCAGGAAAGGTTGGAGACGTAAATCAGACAGAGACGTACGTTAAAAGGGTTTCACACAAAAGACTGATTTTCTCCGAAATGTGAGATAACTGGAAGCTTGTGCCTGTGAGTAGGAGGACGGTTCTTTTCACAAAAACCCTGCAGTCGTCTTATCACAATCTCTGCTATCTTATCCGTCTTCAGTAATCTCCCCACGCCCTCTCTGATAGGTGAGCTTTATCAACTAGATTGACATATAGGTTTAGATCCAAATCACCAAAGCGAATTCGAACCACGATGGCATGAGGATTAATAAAAGGCGAAACCAGTCGGTTCCTATCGTGTTGTACAGAGCACAGCACTACAATTTGAAGCCAATTGCTTGGTTTGTTTTTTATTCGTTTGCTTATCTGTTTGTTTGTTTGTTTGTTTGTAAATTTGTTTGTTCTCAAATAAAGATTGCGTACGAATTGCATCAACATAGACTATAGAGTAATAAACAGAAAACGGAAGCTTTGCTGCTGTCTTTACTACATATGTGGAGAAAAAAACTTGCATCTTTAACTTGTTGGAGTCTGTTTTCTTCTGTTTAATAGTCAGCACAGCCAGGTTTTATCCAAGTTACCCAAAATTGGGTAAAGTTATAAACAATCCAGCCCCCGAAATCAGAGTCCTGGTATCTGAGAGTCCTGGTATCTCGGATATCTACCCATCAACACTCTGCATCGCAGCACTTCTGTTGCATGTCAAACAGTTTAGACACTTCGGCTGAACAACTTCTGGTCGTACACCAGTAGGTCCTGCTGACATCGATATATCAGAGGGCCACACCATAGCGGGAGCCTTACAGAGTGGCTACAATGGACCAACGGGACTAACTACCCGTCATCACGTCTCAGATCACTCGGAACGGCGCGCTGGGCAAGCGGAAAATTAGTTGGAACTTTCCCATTACCCGTGTCAACGGCACGTAGAACAGGGGGGCATTACTCACACTCCGCACATCCATCTTGTGGCTTCTTCTGTACATTATTGAACGAAAGCAGTTAAGGCGTTAAAGACGGAAGCTCCGTTAAAAGCCTAAGCAGACTGTGATGACACACCACTCAGCAACTTTGGCACACTTAAGCCACGTTCTCCCTCTATCAACGGACTTTCGACGAACGGCAGCGTCCGACAAATGACTGTATTTAAACACCTGAATGGATGTCGCCAAAATTGCTGTTTTCTACCGTCAGCAGGGCTACCAGGCGCTGCTTTCCCCGCCTTTGCTAAAAGCTTTCAATAACCATCCATGGAACCCCTGGGTCATTCGTCATTTGCACTGTATTGTAAAGACCCGATAGGCATGCAGATATTAGAGTCACAGTGTGTCACAAAACACAAGCTGTAGAATGCGTGCGCAGAATCATTCTTCCGCCACTACATACAAACTCTTCTTTGCTTCACCGAGACAAGATTTTTTTATCACTCGAGAAAGCCTTTAACTATGGCCAGCGCTTCGTCTTCTACCTGCAAATTACACTATTTGAAAATACGTTGAAGATGTGAGAAACGACGAGTTCGGAACGCTGACTACTAATGTGAGTCCAACAAGTCAGCAATGCGATATCGCCTGGCAGCAGACTGAAGGGCACGGCTGGGAACACAGCTGACTACTGAAGGGGAGACAGCGCGTGGATTGTCCCGTCACCACGGGAGCCCGACAACAAACTCACCGCCTCCTCATTCGCTGCGCCGCTGGCTGGAAACAGGTGATAACAGAGCCACACTTGATTGGTGATCCATCTTCTGAGACAACCCCTCTAATACACGGGAGTGATGTATTACTGATTCCTACTGTTTTGGGGGCGTCACATCTCCTGGATATTCATGCTTATCGAAATTGAGGTGGCGATAGGACGATTCCAACCCCCGTGAAGAATCGGTTTAATAAAAGAAATAGAGATATCAGAAAGAACTGAGGTAATGACGTGACATTTTGAACCCTGAGTGTGCTCTTCTTCGATATACCTAACATTAACACAACATCATCTCCTGTCTGTCAATACTAACGAGATGTCCCAGGAATATATCGCCAATACGACTCTCGTGGCACAGTACATGTGAGCCGTGAGACAGTTTGGCCGCATCACGGCTATATCGTTAATAAGGCATCTCTCTTGTTATTCAATGAAACTTGGCGTAGTGACCACTGTTGCCGGATGTTGTGTCTGAGGGAAGTAGTAACCTCTGTGTCTGAACGTGGAGAACGTAGGTAATGTTGCGTGGTGTATCGGAATGCGGGAGTATCATTATTTCTACCCATCCATACCCCCAACATCAGACCTCACACCCAATTACCGTGTTCCGATCAGATTCTTCAATCTTCGACATATGAGCCTGGGATGGTGAGATATAGGCTCTTTGGGACGTAATTAGCCAGGAGAGGAGCTCGTCTGTTTCATTATCCATTTCCGCTGTGGTGGCCGACGTTCTCAGAAATAAGAAGCCGTCTAGTAACAAGATCCTTGGGGAATGGGTTAATATCTGTAGAGACTCGGCTCCAAAACTTTTCACGGAGATGCAAGTAAAACCACTCTAGATCTATTTTGGTATCGCGTTATTACCTCCATGAAAAATCGAGGTATTGTTTTTCTCTATCCCTCTGTCTACTTCTTCGCGCGTGTGTGTGTGTGTGCGTTCGTGTGTTTGTTTGTTTGTTTGTTTGTTTGAGTTGAAAAATATGAAATTAAAATTATGCTAATTACAAAAGTTTTGTCATATTCAATGAGACAAATAGAAAACAGCTACCAAGGTTCTAGACACGATTTCATAGGGGTATGAGGTCGGCGAATTCTTGTTACAGTATTTGGTGAAACAATGTCAATGACTTTCCTTTCTGGTTCGACCGCACAATCGCATGTGTCCATAAAAATACTTCTGACTGGATGAAAATGCATGAGCCTAATCAGAGGAGTCCTGCTGGGCGACCTATACACATCTTTCTACTCTGTGTCAGCGATAAGGATGGGAATATATGTGCCAACTGGAGAAACTCTCAGATCTGTTTTAAGATCTCCGAAACTGAAGAATGCTATTTTGTTAAAAAGAGCACGACTTTAGTAACTCGATCTATGCATGTTCCATTGATGTAGTTACGTAGCTTTTATCTCCTCTCCTTAATCTAGTCTATACAGGGCAGACGTTGCAGAAAATGCAGCAGAAAAGCAGCACCGCGGGATAAAGCTCATAATGGACGACCGGGCGCGCTTTTATCCTCCAGATCCTATCTCTAACATCTTCTTAAGTGCAGCTCTCCCAAACAAAGATACCAACCGCTGATACAGTAATCTAGTGACAGTGGGGAGCAAAGGCGTTTAACGTGTGACATAACGTTAACGCACAAGGCGTCAACATGAAAAATGTCCTGACATGCCACCAATCTTATGCACTTTTGGAAAGGCACTTTACACGAATTTCCTCGCTTCGGTCAGGTGAAAAATAAGTATTGTATTGTTCCCTGTGTTTTTAAGTTGAAAGAAAAACTTGTGTGTGTCCCCACCACGTCTTCTGATTACATGTGGCAACATTAAAAACATGAAAAATCACACAGCCAATAGCCCTTCATATTCAGATATTTCGGTAAAATGTTGACGTTAAACAAACGTTACATAGGACAGACCTTAGCTAAGCCTTATCATAAAATGAAGATCTTACGCCGTGTAGAAATTTGGCAGTCCTTTGTTTTAGCTCAGAGAAGACAATTACTGCAAGACAGTGCAATTTATAATTCGCTCCACTGCCTCACGTAACGTTACATTCCCCCTGATGAATGATACACCCATGGCAGAAACGAGACGTCCATGTAATAGATAAATTATCCACATGATCTCATGTTCACAGTGCAAGTACCGCGAGTCCTGCCTTGCCACAGGCACAAGTTTACATGAAAGTAAATCGAGTCTGACCTGAAGTAAACAAATTGCACAATGGTAATGGCTATCTCAATCCACTCAGCACTTCAAATGGGTGCTCTCTGACTGGGAAAAACGTAAAGATAAGGTAGTGAAAGGATATTGCAGATAGGGTCTGTGTATATATTACGGGCTATCAGATAATTGGCATGGAGACGGAAGGAGCCCTGGGAATTAACTAACGTTAATGTAGCTAATGACGAATGGATTTCAATTTTGCTGTATGAGAGTGGGCGTCTTGTCTAACAGTCACCCATATGTGCCATAAATCTTAAAGCACTAATATATCTTCACTTTAGTTTCGGGTGATGGCAGATTACATCTTGAGTTGTTTAAGACATTGAAAATTGAAATTTTTCTTTTTTTTCCCCAGGACTTTATCGCGGAGTATGATGGGAAGAGACCGGTGATCTTGACCGACGTGGTTCCTGATTGGGCGGCCAGCACATGGTCACGTGATTTCTTTCTGGAGAACTACGCGAACGACAGTGCAGTTGTCAAAACTGTTGACGTAAGTGACGTATGTCCTCTTTGTTTCTGTTACATCTTTGGTACCGTACCGTGGTGTACACGTGTGTTCAAATGGTACGAAATGAAGTGAATCGGTGCGATTATTAGAAGAGTAGTCATTGAAAACGACATCATCTCGGGGATTCTGAGTATACTTCATATAACCCGTCAGCATAAATATGGTATTGTGGGCCCCCTACTCAAATGGCGAAAATAAACAGCAACAATACCGTACTCTCTTCGACTAAATAGTTAGAGGGGACAGTATCACGGCGCTAGCATAGTTAACGTTGAGTGAATGTTACAATACATGCATATATACATCTGAAAACGTAGTTTGAAACTGTCCCCAAAGTCTCGGGAGTGTACAGTCAAGTTGCCGTTTCGTTTCATTCGTCCACTCAATTCCCTTTATCTGCAACTAGACAGACGAAAATGCGCTGAGAAAAATGCACATAAAAGACGAATAAAACTTTCGAACATATCTTTATGTATCCATCCATGTTAAAGTAACGTCTGCTGTTCTGGCGATAATTTTGGCACGTCTCTGTGCCTTTCTTTGTGCCCCTAACATTGATTTTTAATACATCTTCTGCAAAGGCGACTCGTAAAACTAAGGCAAGGTCTCCATATGAAGCGTATGTTGCTGTTTTTTACAGTATCGCCTTAGACACAGTGGTTTTATAGTGATAACTGCTGGCATTATGCCTTCAATAGTTCTTGAACGGTGATGATGGAGTACACACTTATATTCAGGGCGACAGTCGTCTTGCACTAAATCATCCACGGCTTCCTATTTATGTTCCCGCGCTACGGTTTCCGTCATAGCTAATGTCTCCATTGAAGACATCCGCACTCTGTCACAGCCTCATGAGCCTTACCTCCGCTGTTGACTTCCATAGCCATGCATCATAAAGCCATCATGGAGCGGCCAAGGAAACGCCATTTCCAATAACAGAATAGCTCTGGCGTTTAGTGGAACGGTGAAAATATGGCTATGTGTGACCACAGTGTGATTAAGAAAATTGATCGGTCACGGGACGCTGAAAAACATCACAAAATCGAAGACAAAGACGTTAATATGACTGTTTTTCATCCGAAGGGCAATGGCAGTATCAGTAGCGCTGCCACGACACTGGCGGACTTCGCGGCCAAGTCGTCCCGAGGCGAGCCGGGGAGATGGATGTACCTGGAGGACGAACTGTTCATCCCGACTCGACCCGAGCTGCGGGCTGACTTGGGCGAGGTGGAGGTGCTCGGGGAAGACTTCTTCCAGCTCTTTCCAAAGGTGTCCTTTTGTCACCCCTTCCTTCTGAAGTGCCGAAACTACTGTATGTCAGCTTCACGTAGTTAATGTGTGGCCCAAACAAATACTTAATCAAATCCGAGTACATAAAATATGAAAAGTCTAAAGAGAACGGATCATATATCATGGTGCAGGACTTCGAATCATGTCATATATATAAAGCGTAACAATCATGGGGATAATAATCAAACCGTAATTACTACTTTACTGAAACTTGCTCTTGCTATGCTATGCCCTTGCACATGTTTACAAATATATCAAATCAGACGTTCATAAAGTGGTTGGGTGCAGTGATATATAACATTAACCGTTACGTTACATTAGTGAGGAATGATGTTCCATTAGTGTGGATAAGAGTAGTGTCAGCAAGACCGGAACATTCTGAGGAAAACCTGCTCCCCTGTCCCCTGCAGGAGGTTCAGCCGTGGGACGCCCTGCTGCTGTGGGGTTCTCCCTCCTCCCGCTCCCCGCTACACATCGACCCCTACAACTGGACAGGCATCAACGCCGTCATCAGTGGCCGCAAGAAGTGGAAACTCTTCCCTCCAGGTACGACCGAGATTCCTCCTCAAAAAGTAATCAAAGTACAGCTGAGTATTATCTCATTAGAAATTCAAGGACAAGAGACGTCGCCACGAAACCGGCAGAACTGTACAGAATGGTTAAACAGGGAGTGAGCGGCTAATTACTTAAGTTTAGGCCACCTTTATGTAGATATTTAGTTCGTAGACGTACAGAAAAGACAGCTAGAACAGAACAGACCAAAATAACGCCAGACTAGCACTAACGTCAGACTAGGCAGATCTAATCTAACATTTTGCATTGATTGATTAGACCTTCTCACGAATACATACATGACCACTGCAGGTCAGGACCAGCGTTTCTATATCACACCGGACCAGAGGTGCGGGTTCCCGCTGGACTGCATCAAATACAACAGCCCTGTGGACACATTCAGTCCCAACAACACCAGGCAGTACCCAGACTTCCAGGAGGCTGATTTTGCGGAGGTGGGTAGGAGAGGCTTTGCGTATTTTGAAGGAGCCAGTGTTGAGCAAAGGCTTGTCCATCATGCTACCCTATGTTTTGGTATGAAAGATAAAGTTGAGGTGGAAAGAATGCTAGAAAAAAATCAATTGGAACATCATGTCCCTGACTCTACCGTGGATTATTAGCAAAACCAATCAAACAGTGGTGCATGTACATGTAGATATATTTAGAACATTGTGCATATACAGTAGTCGTTACAATGCAGAAATGCGTTTTTTTGTGCTATTTCCAGGTGGTTCAAGTTGCAGGAGAACTGCTGGTGATCCCAACGGGGTGGTTTCACCAGGCGTATAACATGGAGGAAACTATAGCAGTCAGCAGACAGGTGAGGAGGGTAGAAGTGAACAAATGCTCATACATGTATTGCCTTATGGCTACCTAAATAGACACCTTCTATAGTTCGTGGGTAAGGTGGTTTTAGGGACACATTGTGCCTCTGGAAGATCTAGGAATGACAAAGCATCCAAGTACAGATTGCAAAGTAGAAGAATAGTGCGTTAAATCATACAGGATCCGTAGAATGCTTCATAATGTGGTCTCATTGTTGCGTATTGACCTCCTAGGTTATGAACACCAACAGTTACCGAGAGGTGATGGAGGAGATCATCAAGGCTGGAAACATCGACCGTGTTTCACTCCCGCCTAACTTCCCCCAGCTCAGCCCCAGACTGCAGGTTCAGACGCTGGTGGATCTCTTACCGGGAGAAATCCTGGAGAAGGGCAGGCTCCTCACAGACGCCGTGCTAGGGCAGATTAACGGTCTTCTCTAAGATATAAATCAGGCTGGTTGTAAAAAGGAAAGCTGCAGTAATACATGCCGAGTCACTCACATATACTCCAGATCTTTACGCTTCTGACAATTCTATTGTGCTTCATTGTGTAAATGTAAGAAGCATCAGGCCCGTTGGGTTAGCTTGCGATAATGTATATGTTCATGTCATGCAAGCAAATGCTGTAAACCCCTTTAAAACGTTCCAATGTATATAATCAGTACGATAGGCGTGTCGAGAAACCATGTCCGTACTAGACAGCTTGACATGTCCATAGAGTGATAAGGTCCTCATTAATTTGTACGTATACATCGAAGGTCAGACCTGTTACTTGTCATATACACACGAGGCTCGGGGGCTTTATGGTCCTCTGACCAGTTTCTTCATCTTGACAATCAAGTGTAAAATGATCGGTGTGAATCTGTGATCTAAATAAGACGTACATCTGCAACGTGAGTTTTCTAAGAAAAAGGTAGGAGACGCTAGCCAAACCACGTGTACGTCAACACTGTAGGTACAACAGCTTACACGTGTGCTAAGGACCGAACTCTGAAGATGCTACGATTGTAAATAAACGTGAAACTTGAGTAACTTCAGACTGCCCCAATCCTTATTTCCTTGTTGAGGACAAGCATATACGTGCAATTCCAAAGTCTCTATTTTGTATGCTGACGGTAGACAGAAGTAACTAGAAGGTATTAAACATTTGCAAGCAAATAAAGAATGTTTACCGTCTCGTGGTCTAGTCTGTAATCTTGCTACATTGGATTTTACCACCTTGCTACATGGTGAAGTCAAACACTAGCAGTAACCATGGTGATCTGCCCCTGGGTCCTGCTTCATCATCACTAACCATACTGACACCCGTGGTGTGTACATGTATGTATGTGTTTGAGCCTGGTAAGATTAGCCCAGCAGGGCGCCACAAGGGTTCGTAATAAATGAAATGAGTGTCTCCTGCAGGTCATTGACCTTATTTGTTTGGCGCCAAAGAAGAAACTGACATAAAACAATGTTTCCCACCTGGGAAGATGAAACATTATAGGAATATAGCCCAAGGACTCATAAGACTGCACATTTTAATAGCTACTTAAATACTTTCCAAGTTACTGTGTTTGTATACTACACCATCAGTCACAAGAACAGATACAAAATAATGAACATGGCTATGCTTCCTACATGTATATAATTTCTATATTTATCATACACACTTTTTATCATGTTTTTTTCTCTACTTTGAAACATATACATAGCTTTACATTACAAAAGTTTGCACAGGCACTTCAGGGACAAACAGTGCACGTCAGCATAGAACACAGACAGGTTTCTGTATACATGGTATGTACCACCTACTACAGGCGTAAATAAAAGTTTTAGATACAAGGCTTCAGACAGGTGTGTCATGCAGCAGCTCCCCCTAGCTACAGACCTGGCACTGCACTTCTTTCACACTGAGTTGTCCTTTGATATTTACAACTGTAGCTTGCATTACTGTAAACATGAGTGGCTCATAAGTTAGAGGTTAGTTTTTCCTTGGTCAGAAATGACGATCAGAATCTGCTCAGTCACATGGCAATATGAAGCTTAATAAGCAGGTAACTTTTACCTGACTGGTCTAAACACATTAAGATTTTCTTTAGCGCTTCATACTGTTCCAGTATCAACACAACTTTTGTGCCAAAAACCTTACATGTAGCAAGATGAAGGTAAATAACTGGAACAGTGTGGTTTCAGAAACAGTCAGGTATTTCTTCTAGATCTCTACATGCCAAACATCTTTTTTTATGAAAGTCTGTTGGTTAAGAGCTTTGACAAGTACCTGCAAACTTCAATTTTTTTTCTCAATACCTAGTCTGGAGATATTTCACTCTAGAATTGTTATGGTTTTGGAAAGCTCAATACAGTAGAGGCAACATCTACAGACCTGCTGAGAAACACAAACGTAACAATCGATTCATCCTTCCATACATACCTATTCAATAAACTTAAACCTTCTCCATGGTTTTCAATGTGCGTCTGGTTATAATGTATTCTACAGGGTAAAGTAAACCATCCCTAAAATAAACTGAACATGCACTCAGTGCTTTCTCTTTCACACATCTAGAACGGGTAAGTGTATCACATTTTGTGAAATATTCCATCATTAAAATTATCAATACAAAAGCAATGCTATGGATACGGGTTAACAGTAAAGGAAAGCTTTTCAAGCTCTTTATAACTTCCAGTGATCACAATCAATATGTCAAATAAATATCGTAGAATAAGCCAAGCAGAAAAGAAGTAGCAAGCAAATGTTGAAAGAAATCTATTGTAGTTTTACCTACCATCTATGAATTACATGTATGAGAAGCAGTATACATGGTGCTTGAGGCACCCCAATGCCATGTTAGGCAGCATGGACAATGGATCTCTTGGTTTTATGCACCCAACTTTTCAGATCTTTCTATAAGTGGCATTTGAACCATATGTATATCAAGTTTCCGAGCAAAACATAACTCTCTTGAAAGACTCTTGAAAGAATTTTCCGGGCCTGGAAATACCATACCAACAACAATCACCATGCCTTTATATACAGCTTTTAGATAACTGTACAATTGTAGACCCTAAACCGTCAATATGGAAGCAATTGCAAACTTGTTACCTGGGCTTTAATGAAGGATGCTGGCTTCTGATACATTCATGTTTGCCATTTGCCATGGTCATATATAAGGTTAAGAACCACTTGTATAGTACACAATAATAATTACATATTAAATATGTCTGTCAATAAATATGTCCTTAGTGAACAATAGGGATGTAACGGAAAATCTAACAGTGATGCTCTTTCAAACAAATGTTACAAGAAGGTACATTTTGTTACAAGTGATATAATCTTATTAGTAGGCTTGGCTTTTGTTATTTAAATAATACATATACTTGAATGAATTTCTTTACAACTTACTGGCCAACAGTCATTAACAGAAAGTAAGGAAACCAACAAAGCATTTTGTCACCTCATCTTTACAAGGGCAATAATTTCTGGTTATTACCAAAAATTTCCACAATTTCTCTATGAATGCCTTTGCATGAAACATTTGCCATCTTGGATATGCAATACATATTAGGCCAGGACTTACACTACAAAACCAAGAACAACAGAGATGTAGAATTCTGATATACTGGGAACACAACAAAATACACAACCAAGGCTGTTGGTATCTGAAGAGCCCAACTTTGAAATAGAACTTTTGTCTAGCTCACCTGGTGTGTGATTGAAAAAAAGAAGCTAGTATTAACAACAGAGTTTCATTGGGGTTTCTCCTCTCAAAGAGCTGGCAAGATCAACAAGGGTGCTTGGTAGGTTTTCCTGTAGTTACAATGAAGTCATCTGTACAAGTTGGCCCCTTCATGGTATGAATATACACTGTTCACAACTTTGAAAATGAGGCACTTTACACAACATCACTACAAAAAAATCAATTCATATCTGCCATCATGACCATTCATCTTTTCTTTCCAACTACAACATGGTAAGGTCTAGAATACACGGATCCATGGGAAAATGAGGTAAAGAGTTTGGTTTTGATACTTTTTGAAAGTTGCCTACAGGAGTTGTCATTTTCACTTGACGGACACGCATTCACAATGCATGGAGCCTCCTGACTTCACCCTATAAATACTGCAGTGGACAATTCAAGACAGGGTATATACTTTACAGGTTGGACTGCAAGATGGTTGGTTTGGTTACAAACTTCAGTACAAAATAGGGAACACCAAAAATGACCTGGACTCCATTCCAAGGTTAGTACTTTCTGGAGCACGTTTCCTAGGTTTTTCTCCGATCACATCAACAAATAGGTGGAGGCGACGCTCAGTCGCTGTCGCTGTCGTCGTACTGCCCGTAGTCCACCTGTCCCAGGGTGCCGTGTCTCTGACAGTGCTCGATGATGGCCGTGTGACAGAAGTGGTACTGGTCCGGTGTCTGGATGCTGAAGGCTCGCTGGGTGCGCATCCGTTGTACCGTCTCCTTCACGTTGACCGTTCCGATGTCGGCCAGCCGGTCCAGACAGATATCCAGCGTACAGAAGGTGCCTGGAGCACACATGGACAGAACGGTTACTTCTAAGTAGTTCTAAGTAAAAAGTTTTCACAGCTGCTCATTGATTTGCCAAGAGCACTATCCTAATAATCAAACTTGTTTAATGCTGTACACATCACAAGCCACCTATAAGTTTCCTTGTTCAGAAAAAGATTCCAAAACCACAAGTTCAAATGGTAATATTTGACTTAAAGAGGGACAATAAATACCACTTTCATCTAAGAAGAGGCAGCATAAAATGCTACAAATAATGACACTATACAGCATCAACATGCATAGTTGATCCTGCCCACCTGTCCTGCCTATCCCTGCGCTGCAGTGTACCACGATGGGAGGTCCCCTGTGGTGCCCCGCCCAGGCCGGCCCCATGGCCTTACACCCGTCAGCCTGGTACTGCCGCACCTCCGCCAGGAAATCCAACATGGCCGCCGCCGAGCGCGGCACGCCGAAGTCTGGCCAGCTCGTGAACTGGAAGTGTGCGACCTCCCGAGACTCATCCGTCTGAGAAAAAGGAACAAACATTAAGCATTAGCCAGCTAAATCTTTGTCAATTGTGGAGATTGAAGACTACATTGTAATGTGCATCTATGTTAAGGTTTAGATGAAATTTCCGTTACACCAAGAGAAAAAGGCAAAATGATTTTAATGATGATTTACATGGAGACTGCACAACACAACATGACAATATTAAGTCATTTTTAGACAACAATTATCAGTACAAGTTACTCTGATCTTTGTACTGAATGCAACACCAAAGTGTCTAAAAATCCTGCAAAGTCTCTTCAAAACATCTTCAAACGACTCTAGCTACATGTATAATCAAACGTGTCCCCCACCTCCAGGTTGTCCAGCTTGAGTCTGGAGATGGTGTAGTCATCCCCTGCCTGGATCTCCAGATTGGTCACTCGGAAGTTGGCGTAGTGGTCAAGCATGCCCTCCTCATTCGGCCAGTACTGACCACACTTCAGCCGCCCTCGCTCTACCACTCTGAGGGGGAAAAATATGCTTTGTGAGAACTAATGCATAAAGGAGAGCATACCTAATGTTAAATGTATCGCAATAAATTATTATAAATTATGCTGCGGTGTGATTTTGAGTACTTAAGTATGCAAGCAATTTCAATAACCAAATAGCACAGTTGCCAAATTCCAATAACCAATCACTGTAAGGTACGTTCCCTTACCTGGTTGTCATGACGATGATGAGCACCTGTTGTTCCCACACCATGCGCCAGAAGTCGGGGAATGTTCTGGGTAGGGGGCCTTGGGTGGCGATGAATGCGTTCTTGTGCTTGTAGGCATCCATGAAGTTAGCGTTGATGTAGTCAGTCGTCTGCAAAATGTGGGGAGAAGAGTGACCAATTTTTACTGAGTGTACTAAGCCCTATTCAAGTTTTGAAAAATATCAATTCACCAGGTGCATTTTGTAAATTAATTTGTTAGAGAATGAATACTATGCAGTATATTTTATGCCACTATTCTTCAAAAATGATCTTCAAGTTGACTACACAGGATCCAATTCAAAGGTCTTATAGCAACATAACAAATCAATGGTCTGACCTGTTTATGAGTGATGAAAATAGTCTTTATATTTTTGGTGTATAGATTTCTTAATTATGTCAAGGAACTTCACTTACATCATCCTCATCCAAGATGTTGAGCTTAACTCTTGAGTGGTCCAAACTCAGAACGTCTGTATATCTGTTCTTACACTGGTTGTATGGAGCCCTGGGGATTGGAATGGCAAAGTTAGCCTTTAGAACATTAGACATTAACATTTTTATAACCCACATAGAATAATAAAAGGAAACAATATATTTGAAATTGTGTTGGTTCCTAGCTACTCAAACAAAATCCTATTACAAACAGAATAAAGGAGGGAGTGAATTTACAGCTGCAACAGAGACACAAACCCCTTCCCTCTTCTAAAAAGATGAGCAATCTGCCTTACTTGGAGCAGTTGAATGTCCCAGCTGGTGCCTCAGCTCTGATCATGGCGTACTCCTTGTAGATTCCCCTTTTCCCTGTTGTCTTCAGATGCACGCAAAGTTGGTCCATGGTCATTCCCCCCTCTTCTACTGTGTGAATGGACTCTTCTTCAAAATTTGTCAGGTAAGTCTTTCTGGGCAGTGGCGGCGGCGGCAGGCTTTCGTCCTCCTCGCTCGAGTCCTCGTCCACTATTCTGTCGTCCACAGCAGCCTGAGCATTCCCGTTGGTGGTGTGGTCCACACTTACCGCCTGCTGCTTCTCCACACCCTGCCTCTCTGAGAAGCCACTATCTGTCTCTGTGGGTGTGTTTCCCTCCGACTTGGCCGCTTTGGTAACATCCACAATGCCGTTCAGAGCAACGTCAATGTGCTCAGTGTCTGAGTTCTGGGAGCTGGCGTCCGAGTCGTGTTCCTTGTCGTTCTCAGTCCTGTTTTTCATGTTGGGACTGACGAAGGGCGTGTACTCGGAGGGGGAGGGCGGTGTGTCGTTTGGTCCGGCGTGGTCCTGGGCCAGGGAGGCGTTCCAGCAGCGCTGCAGCCACGAGGGGTGGTCAATGAGCAGGTCTCCGCCCAGGTGGGTGGGGAGGGCAGACAGGGGAATGAAGTTGTGCAACTCGGATATATCAATCACGTGGACCTGCCGAGGAAATGACATTCAGCATCACTAAACAGATATATTACCAGCCTAGGAACAAACGTCTTGTTAGTAGTGACTACTGTGCTACTTTGATCCAACTCACAGTACTTTTGACAATCATTCATTCCAAATGAAAATTCAATGAACACCCAATTTCGGCACAGGGCCAGCTTACACAATACAAGAACAGTACATAGGAAAATACAATAATGACAGTACTCACCCTTTCTCGAAGCTTTTCTCTGACAAACTGCCGTAGTACGCTGAAGGGCACCTTAAACCACAGGGGTGCAGTCACGATTAACATCCGCTTCATGCGCGCCGGGTACCCTCCCTAAAAGTAAAACCAAGACAGACATCACTTGACTTGTGTACAACAGAAACAAACACTCCATTTAGCTTATATAATACATAATATCACAGTCCTCACTTGGAGTAAAAGCGTAACCTAAGTGAACAAAGCCCTAAAAGGCAAAACAAGATAATATTACAGGAAAGCTACGGCTCAGATTGCAACATACTATACACTCACTTCAGACAATCTAAAGAAACCTATTATATAAACAGTGTCCATTTCATGCCCTTACCACCACTAACTTGAGAAGAACAAAGGAAATCTGTGCTGAGAAAGGCCATGCAGTTAATGTAAAATTTTCTCCCTAACATATCCTAAAACTGACAACATTCAGCTCTCGGTAATATGCTACTGCTACATAATCAAGTAGCTGAATAAAATGGGAATTAAAGCTACATTTTATAGCAGACTTGTAGATAGTACCAGTTGGCTACTTGTGTACCTCCTGACCTACTCCTGACCAAACCCGTCTGTGTGGCCTGCCTTCCAAACCAATTAGCTTCATTCTGGCACCTCAGGAAATGCTGCTATTCAGCCTTTGTCTTTATGCTAATCAGGTTATTTAGGCCAGGTGGCTCTATGGTTTCTTGGTCACAGGAATCAGTAAAGCAGCTCTTTTTGGACTAAGTAAGATATGTGAAGCCTTTTGATCACATTATATCTACTAATTTCTGTCATAATTTTGTTCACAACTTATCCTATATTGCTTCATTATCATAGCTCATCAGATAGTCTTCTAAAATGTTTCTGTAATATGCAACCTAAGGCTACCGAAGGAACCATCTATTATCTATCTGTCAGGCTACGTACATGTGTATCTGAAACTTTGAAAACCAGTGCATTTGAGAGATTTCTAGTGTAGGACCCAGGTAATGAGGTATGTGCAAGAATACTGGGGATGCTGCATGGAAATCTCTTTCGACACATTTCTCAGGTTGGCCAATATATGTAATCTGGCAGAGAGATCTTACACAGCACATGGTGTGTTCTGGAGCTCACCTTGAGCAGATTTAGGATCTTCCTGCTAAGGTCGTAGTCGAAGTTACTGTAGGCAGAATCTGTCATGTCATACACGAAGATGAGCCCATTCCGCTGGGTCTGACGGCTGCAGGAGGAAGTAACACATCAACATGTAACAAACTGCAGTGATTCTTCTCCAATATTGGTGCTACTTGTCTTCATGACAAGGAAAATATAAAGAGCAACAGCGACGGGCAAAAAGGGTCAAGAAAGGAGAAGACTTAACAAGTCAAACTTTATTGCACAACAATTGTAACAGAGACATATGATATCGGAAGTTTACAAATCATTTTATAACCTTTGATTTTCAGTCAAGCATTTATAATATAAAATCTGGTTGTAGCATTTATAAAATCACTTGGTGTAATTGAAATTATACATACAACATGACTTTGTTCGGAATGTCTCCTTCCCTGAACAAGTCGACCAGTCTTCATATGGCCATTTTTGATACAACAAAGGGCCTTACTTTTCAAGTGCTTGGTCCAACTGGTAGATCACCCCCTTGAGTGTCAGCTGATGTGTGCTTTTGCTGGGATCGTGAAGTTTGGCTGTAAACAGAGCGATGGCCGCTCCGTTGTAGTCTCGGGTGGGCTGTGGAGGTAAAGCATGTGTTACAAATACATGCACCGTAATCCTTTACACTGGATATATTACTTCTCTACTATAGTCACTTCTCTACTATAAACTCACTACACCTGACACCTGCAAACATATGTTCTGTGTTTTTAGTAATGTTACTACTATCCAAGTACAAGATAGCAGGCCTAGAAGTTTAGGTGCTAAGAAACTATCTTCTTTCTGTTCTACTGCCAGAAAACTTAATCTTAATATAGATGAAATCCAGATGTACTCATTTTGGCATGTGTTCAGAAAAAAGTCTCGCCCTTTCGACAGATGGGAAAAGATACACAGCAATGCTTACACATCAAAAAGTTGTTAAACCACCAGAAAATGTGATATTACATGTAATTGTCATAAGGTGACATAAAAAGTCTGATTGCAAAAAGGAGATAAATTTGTCCTTTACTACACAATCATGTCCAGTGTTGTCTACTGGGAATGGCCTACATAAAATCAATGTTCTGTAGTCCAACATAATAAAAAATCTAACAGGCTTGCATTTTACTGAACACCATTTCATTATGGTACAAGTAAAACTACACATAATATGGGCTATTGGGTTATACTGCATACACCAGGAATACAGTGTGATACATATACATGATTAACATGATATTGAACCATCAAAACCTACCAAAAACATCAGAAACTAGAGTTCCCCGATCTCATACCTTCGCCAAATGCGATGTTAATCTTTATGACTGACAAATTATACATTAGATTATTCCCCCCTGATTTAACAAATAGGAACCTAATTTTCATGAATTATATCATTTTATCATAATCTAAACCAAAAGACAGTCTTATATTAACAAACAATGCATTCTAGTTTTTCCTAATAAATTATGCAAATGAGGTCCTGATTTGAATAAATTATGTTTAATGATGTTCACCTCAACTTAACTTTCAAATACCACAAGTATGAAATTCCAGGCAGTTATTACATAATTATAAAATTTTCTCATTAATTATGCAAATTAAGTCATTATTAATATAATCAATATCTGCCTGTGTTTCTCTCATTGTCAATTACCAATGTCACAAGCTTCAATTGTCCTATCATGGAATGCAGCTGATTTATAGAATTTCCCCATAAATTATGCAAATTACATCCATATTTGCATAATTGTCACATAATTTTATTAAGCATCACGTAAGCTACCTACATACCAAAAATCATGACAATCCGTCAACCGGTTCTTGAGTTATACCCTTTTTTAATATTTTCAAGAATATATCCCTGCAGTTCCAGAGCAAGCCGCTAGGGGGCCCAAACTCATGTCACTTCTTCCCCAACACAAGAGCTACCTACCATCTACATTTCATGACCATAGCATGTCTAGATCATGAGATATCAAAACCGGAAGTTCAGCTGCAGTACTATAACAAGCCGCTAGGGGGTCCAAAATCTAATCATTTTGAGGTCTCATCAAGACCTACCCACCTACCAAGCATCAAGACAATCCATCAAGGCCTTCTCAAGTTATCGTGTTTACAGACACACACACACACACACACACACACACATACACGAACGCCTCTGAAAACATAACCTTCTTGGCGAAGGTAAATACAGTGTAAGTATTGTTTTGGCTTAACGTTAAACTCATCATGGACATACTGATACATATATTGTGCATATATATACATTTATAAGTGCAATATCTTCCATTTACTTATTGACTTATTACCCTTAATGCCAGTTTCAACAAAAACTCTCCAATTCCTTCCAGCAAAACTGTAGGCCAAATTCTATCTTCCAATTACTTACCAGGACAGTGAACTTCCCCGTCAACAGTTCACTCTTCAGAGGGTCCTCTGTTGGGTGGAAGTTAAAGATACTTTCCTTGTAACGAGTTGCCTGCAGCAAGAGGTGATAAAAACCACAGGGATCAATTATGTCCTGTACTGTAAAAGGTGAAGCTGGGAATGAATGTTGCTTCCACTGGTCCTGATGTTATAGAGGACAGTTGGTTCTAGTACCTGGTATTTGTGGCTAAATATGGCGACATAACACCTTCTTCCTAGAAATGCATCCCCCTTAGTTTGAACTGGTCAGCCAGGCTTCCTTATGCAACAATTGGTCACACCCCTCCATAACAATGGAGCAGTAATACTTTTCCTTTATTGGTTATTGGTTTTCTTTCTGAACATGTTGTTTACAAAACATACAGTTGTACATGATTTCAACACCCATAATGGAAGTTTCTGATAATGCTACAAACTTATAATTTTTAAGATGGTCTTGAAAAGGTCACTAGCTATAGGATACCTTGGCTCATGATTAAATCAAACCACCTATCCCCATAACCTATTTTCCTGGAACTGCTTCCTTTTTCCTCTGGATGGCCAGAAGGGAGTGCTATTTTCCCGTAGATTATACATAACTAGCAGACTTTTTACATAATTTTGCTTGTGCGACTTGTGCAGCGCGTGTTTGGGGATAGGGGACAAGCACACCAAAAAGCTGATTATTGAGGTTACTTGCTTTACTTTGCTCGACCTTTAGCTTGGATGCTATAATATCTGAATGTCTAATGCAGTAAGCCCTGGATTCAATGCGTTTTAAGACCTGCGCGCAAAACGAGTATTTTATTGTGTACTGTAAAGTAATATGCATTTTTCACTTCCTAAAATTAATGTCTGTCGGAATATAGCACTCCTTCTGGATTTTAGTACTCCTTTAGGCTTTACTGCAACTTTTAGAAATAACCAATCAGTGTAGTGTGATGGAGCTTGTCAACAGTTATACATGTACAACAACTGTATGGTTACACAATGTCTTTTTCACATAACTTTTCCAATTCTGGAAGTATATTAGCCTTCTTTTGGTGGATGCCTTTTGCTTAATATATGCACATTTATAGAACTAAAATAAATTTCCACTTACAAAGCATGCACAGGGTAGCCTTTATGTCAATGCCAGACCTTCTCAGAATAGTACCATTGATCCAATTTCCAATGTTGGTAACCCTGTCTGGGAAGGGCCACTAATACACGCCCACACATTTCTACCAGCTGATATCATGGGAACAGTTTCAGGTCCCACCCTGAGCCTCACCCCACTTCATGGCCCACTCAATCAGTGACAAGTTTCCCAACTTTCTGTTTCTATAGTGATGCAATAGAAACTGCACACAGATGATGATCACATGTTTGCCAGTCATTACAATATTAATAATAAGCAGAAGTTCATCCAACTTGCCAGGCAACACCATCATGAAAAAGCATTATTTGCTGACTTAAGTTGGTGGGCGTAAAAGCAAATATTGGTTTATGACTATCCCCTTTCAATGACATCATACTGCCCCTCCCACATTCAGGGAAGTCCCTTTAATAGCTTGTTACATACAAAATTGCAGCTTGGTAGCTTTATATAAACTTGTTATATCTAAATATCCATTGAATTCTACTTTGTATTTGACTTTTTTGTTACCAAACTATATCAAAATCCTGTCACTCCCACTTTAATTGCAGGGGATGTGACTCACAGATTTCCAAGAAGTCACAAATTCAATATTCTTCAAAATGTTTAACAATCCCTCTCCCCAGAGGTTTCTCTCAGAGCACTTTTTGTTACATTGGTCTGTAATGCAACAAAATGAGTGTTTGCTATATTTGCAAAGTTCACAGACACATAATGATGAGGTGGAACTTTAACCATTTCATTGTCTAAAATATAGATTATTAAGATTATCACACATTCACAGGATGTTGGCTGACATAGGAAAAAACTGCACATAATACCTTGCTTCAAACAGACATCCAAGAATTCATGATGTACTCTAATACATGTACTGTATTAGTTTTTACACACACTAATAGTAATACATCTTGTGTATTAAAACATTTCAGGCAACTGCAACTTAGCATTAACTCGGAAAAGGACTACTGTTATATTAAACATCTGTCAAATGTGCCAATGTTGTATTTTGACCTCGCTCTAGTGTTTACTTTAAATCAGGCTGTCTCCAACATTTGAAAGACCTGCCTGGCAACTACCCAGATTGTTGCAGGCTTCTATAAAGAAACATTGGCAAGCATTTGTACTGGCTCCAGGCCCATACAGAATAGTTTATATTGGCACATTCTGCACATAGCTCCAGAATTAATCCTTCTTTGGTGTGATGACAATAAGTAAACTGATTTTTCTGCACATACACACTTGTATTACTATTCCTGGGCAGCATTCCTGGGTATGAAGGATAAAATCTGCTGACATCATTATCATACTACATTATTATACTTTAGTGATTTAGTGTCCTTCAGTTTGAAGACATTAACAAGGTCAGATACTACACAGCACAGGGGAGTGCACATGACATTGAGTGGGAATGATATGCACAGTTTCCTAAATCATTTTCCCCCAAACAAGTGTAACATTTATATGAGTATGTATGACATAGGTGTATTGTAACTAAGCGAGAACACAAACTTTCTGCTGCACATTTCTTCATGATATAAAAACAACATATCAACATATTACAGAAAACAAATTTCAACTTCTTTGAAAACAGATAGAATCAATTTCAACCACCATATAGACAAACAAGGCAATTCATGAACATAGGCTTCACAATGAATCACCTGATCAGAAGTCAATTTTCAGAGGAGCGTCAGACTTTGTATGGCTCACCCCTCCTTCTTGAGTCACTTCCACCTTTCCCAATGTCAAGGTTCGGTAACCGTACTATGGCCAGTTCTGCTAGTAATAATACTGACAGATTACTACTACAATCAAATCTTTAACTCACTTGTTTGCCCTTCATGAAACACTCCAGTCCTGGGCACCTGGTTCTCTGAGGGGATACTTGGTTATTCCTGATTATCCAAACTTGCCCAGTGACTGCACCACAACCAGGCGACTGACTCCGGGGACAGGAAGCACTCTGTTGAGCCATGTGCTGGCAACTGTTACTGTCTAGTAATGGTCATGTGACCCGTGTGTAGGCACTGAACATTCCTGGGTGTGGACTGGCTGTCTATGGACGTCACAGTCCATACATAGAAACAAGGTGGTTTGGGGCCAAAGTTTCCTGTTGATTGATAGGCTACAGGCAGATTTGGAGGGTGTTACACTTCTCTGGACTGACCTAGGCCAGTTGACACATGAAACTACTATATACAGAACAGCTGTGTCAAAAAATCTGGTGTAAAACATAAGTTACTGAATAACCTGCGTTAAAAAAAATCCTCGAGTTGTTTTCCAAGGTTAGCACTTTGAGACTATCTTTGTAAATTACTAAATAACTGCTGTTTGGTTGAGTTACTATATTTTGCTTCTTTCCATTCTTTGTAATGACCTTACATCCTGATTACTTCTTGTTAGGTAGTTTTCTCAATGCTTTTAGTCTTACTGTAACAAAATCAAGACATTCAAGTCTGGCAAAGGATATGCATCATGTGTACTTGCTACTCTAAGGCAATCAGTCACAATATAGCTTGTTTTTCACACCCTTCTCTTGTTTAAACAGGGGATATACAACGGTGCAGGTGTCATGTATATTACATACTTATCATGCCAAACCGACCATTTTTCAAATTCATAATTTAAGCTATGGATTACCCCACGAGGCGGATGCACATCCGGACATAAATCACGTTGCAACCTGATCTGTGCAAATTATGTATGCCGTGAGGGCCCATGAACTCCAGCCTGTACGTTTATCCTTATATGTTTTTCACAACTGTGCCAACATTTACTACCCTCTTTTATTGTATTGACTACCCGGGATAATGTTGACAATACACTTGAAGCATATAAGGAAAATCATTAGAAAGCAATATTATAAATTTACAAGGCATCTCCTTTCAGTTTCATACAGAAAAAAACAATAATTAACAAACAGCTTTGCATTAAAGTTGCCAGATGGGAGGAATTCTGTAGTGCCGGTGTTCAGGTACAACTGTCAGTTTGGAAAGAAGCTTCGTTGATAATCTAGGATGACTTTAAAAGAGACAGCAGAGTGACCTTGCCATCTTGGATCCCATCCAAACACCCAGAAAGATCAACAACACAAGGTCAGGACGTAATCCAACTATTTTGACAACACGCAATGTTGTGGCTCACTACAAACTGTATCCAGGCATTTACATCTGGGGCCTGTGGATATCTTATGTCATATTTGCAAGTCGTGCTCCATACAACAAGTAATTAAACTTCAGTCAAAAACACTCTTATGACTATAATATTCAAGCTAGTTTTGTCAATGTCAACCCTGGTGATATTGATACAGTACAAGTGAGTTGCCAAACACTGCCCATATGCTGTATTCTATCAGTCATTCAATCAGCAATTTGGACCCGATCCAACAGACAATTGGGCTCGACTAGAATCCAATCAGCGTCTCTAACATCATTACACATCCATACCCATCAATCCTCAGGCAAGTCTGGTGCATTTCTAAGAAAGTCGGTGTGCGGCAGCTACATCATTTGTGGTAATCGTGACTGAGATGTGGTACAGAATCTTTGACACCTGCCTGTTGTACTACATGCACAGTCAATCCTTCTTAACACATGACTAGAAAACCACAACATTGACTTAGCGTAAGTTGAGAATTTTCACCACGTATCCCAATGTTTTCAGCTTACAACTCTCCAACATCAAATCAAATAGATAGACCCAGGATAGTATGTTTGATGGGTTCTCAGAAAAGCAACAACAAATTCACACTAACCCTTAATCAACAATATTTTGGAACTTAAGTTGTGAGTGAACAGATATAAGGACCTGATGTACTGTACTTACCTAAAGACTTGCTTTGACCATCTGTACAAGTGACCAAAGTGACCACTTTTTAGTGAACCTTAGAAAATTTTTACCATTGATACAAGTACTAAGGATTCTGTCTATAGCAACCACCTGTCTACATAGTCTTAGACAAGATTATATCAGTCCTCTAAAAAGTCCTAACTGGTCTTCTTGGGCAGTTTTGGGAAAAACAGCAAAGAAAACCTGATGACAAGTCCTCCTTCACTGTTATTGTTTTACCAGCAGGTACATACATGTATGACCTACTGTATACTGTTGTATAGCTAGACTTGATTCACAGATGAAGATGATACCAGAAAAATTGACTTACAGCGTATTGAGCGTAGAGGTCGATGGCCCTGTTCACGTCAAACTTCCTGGCCATGAGGAACTTGACAGCCGTGTCCCAGGGGAGAGGTGCGGCATTGTGCTGCGACCGCCAGAAGTTGATGCGCTGGAGAAACTCAGCTGTGGCCTGCGAGGAGAACGCAACATATGTTACATTTGTGCAACAATTTTTCTTAATGTTTTGTAGTGTGTGGAGGTGAATTTTCTTGTCATCATTTCTTTAAATATAGCTCAGATGTCACTTTTGGGATTCAATGTCGACATATATCTGAGGTAATTGGGACATGATTAGATTTTGAAACTCTCATTTCTGATGAAAAAAAAATCCATAATACAATGACTGGGGAGACTAATCATCTCGAGACAATTGAATGGAAACACACACCACTATACTATAGGCCTGTGTCTTTCCTGTGGGTTTGTTCAGCACAAGATATCATGGCTAATCACCCAACAGAGGTAACAACGAACTAGGAACACAGTAAAAGCAGCTAAAGCCAAGTTGGTTTCCTGTTGTGTCTGGAGAAATGATTGCGTCTTGGAAATGAGACAATCAGAAAAGACCTACAGCATTTAAAGCTGGGAAACTATTGAATAAAACAATAATGCAAGTGATGTTAAGGAAAAAAACTAAATTCTGAAATTTTGTTTGTCTTTTGCAGTTGCCATCAATATATTTTCAATGTATGTGCGTTGATTTTTGGATATAGGCCAGGACGGCAAAAGAAAAGCAGACAAAACATAAGTTTACAAAAGGACAATTTTCTTCCCATAGCCACTATAATTGCTCTCTTTCCAGAAATCTTTCATGGCCATAAAACCTTATTTCAAGGTGATACCAGGCATAATGTTATAAGTAATGATTTCAAAGGACAGAGGGTTCCAAGGTCTCTCCAAGCTCCTAGAGCACTTAACTCAAAGATAAAGTCCAGTTCTCCAGGATATCAATATATTTTGAGGGGTTTGAGCTTCATCTAACAGTGCACTAACAAGTAACAAAAACACAAAACAATATGTCTGTTGTGTTGTGTATACAAGGCAAAGTGACCATGGTGTGAAGAAAGAATGTTTCACGAAAAAATCTATTAAAACAGCCATTGACTGTTGATGTGAAGATCAATAACTTAATTTGAACTTTAATTTATCACGTTCTTATGGATTCTTTGTTACCTTCTGGTTCTAATTGTTTTAATTGACATGACATGTGCAGGAATCATGGCATCTGATCTGTGTTTGTTCTTTTTTTTTTTTCAAGTACACAGAACAGATCTATAGACTATCAAAATATGATAATTTACTGAAGCTGGTCCTAACAGAAGTGTGAACTATATTGGGAATTTCTTGCAAAGGTCACAGATCAATTTATCCAATGTTAGTAGTGTCTTTTTTAAACCACTAAGTTAGGAGGCATGATGATGATCTTGAAGTTAGGAAGTGATCCATAATGACACATTTCACAGAACTTCAAAGCATTCATTTTTTACATAAAAGTTTAAACCCATCCCACGCAGCTGAATATATTAGTATGCCGAAAAGACCTTGTGGTTGCCTCATTTCTGGAGAAGTTTTGACCCTCTTTCCTGTTTCGTATCACCTCTTTCCAAATAAGGCCTTCATACAGGAAGAGACTCAGTACGCGACCGGAAATACGAAATACAAAAAAGTAGGGTCAGCTGGATTTTCAGAGGTTCAAGACCAAGTTTCAAAGATACAACACACTTCAACTGTATAAAACGATCATGGTAGAAGATGAAAAGCCTGTGATTCTACAGTGTTTGTGTCCACATCGCCGTAGTGTGAAGCTGTATGTCAAACCCGTCTAGTTTTACTGGAGTTCCATACGTCATACGCAGTTATCATAAACTATCTGATCTCAGAAGATGTAGCGGACAGAAACAGTTGAGAGGAGATTCAAACAAAGCCCTTTTCTTTTTAACAAACTGATTAAAACGTGCATGTTTAGGCAATTTTAGAGTACCACAGTAAACGCGGACTAAAAGAAAAGCGCCCAGGAGTCAGCAGACGGGAGCGTTCTCCTGCATACAGATCAAGGCGGAAATGAGACATTCTTGATATTCTGGACGGGAGAAACGCGATGCGAAAACACGCTGATTCCTCCACGACACGGGCTGACAAAACCATACAACACCACAGATAACGTTAACCACTCTATAACGACAGCGTCACGCTCGTTTACAAGTCCAATGAGCCCCAACATATGGTGGAAAATTACAAATTACTGGGACGTACCTGCTCTTCTTCGGACGAGAGAGGGTCCGCCATGTTCTCCTCTAATGAGCAAAGGCGCATGCGCTGTTGCAATGTTTCCTGGGAAATTTCCAGGAAGCTCGTCGCCTTGGGGCTTATTAAAAGGTCATTAAATCAGAAAGTGACGTTGAAGGATCAGGGACAAGGTTATGACAGCATTTCGACGTGATATGAAGTCCTTGGCACATTCAATGTCACGAGTGCACACGGAATTTGGACAAGAATTGATGTTGGATTTAATAACGAGAAGAGGAAGATGAAAATGAAAGCTCCGGTTACATCATCAACCACTGGCGTGAAATCCAATCCTTTAGAAAAGAAAGAGTTTTTTTGATAGACTGGTCATTAACTGCAAAATCTATTGCCTCATATTCGAGATGTATTACCTATTATTACAAGACCGGGTAAGGTATTATAAATTAACCACATAACATAGCATTCCTTCCTTGATCTTTCCTTGATAATGTTAACTTTTTACATATTCATAAACTTCGGAGAATTGATTTGATTTCCTTGTGATTTCCAAACAGCTAGCCGGAACCAATTTCATCCTAGAAATGACGTTACCTCAAGTGTAAAACTTTTCATCATGTTTCTACGACTTGTCATAGTCCGTAATAACGTTAGTTAATTGTACTTTTGAAACTTCGTCAATCGTCACAATAAACCATAGCCTGGGTGCCATCCTCCGGCTCCCGGCTCAGTTTGCGCCAGCTCCCTCACTGGGCCCAGCGACCTCAGGGGGAGCTGACAGAAACTACGGAGAATGGCACCCAGGCTAAACAAACCATACCTAATCTTCATTATTTATATTGCACCTAATCTCTATCTTCTGAGACGATTTTTATTTGAGAGGGTTTTATACCTCCTTGTCACAACGAAACCATGTTAACGTTACCAAGGGAAAGTTTACGATCCAATGTTCTAAATAATGTATGTTTGGAGATCAGTGTTGCGTGTCTCAGTTTCTGGCAAATGCTCGTATTCCTGAACGTAACAACCATTTGAAATTGACGTCGTGCAACCTAGCAGTTGGTGCAATTGGAATTGCAGCCGCAAGAAGGCGCTGTAAAATTGCAACCCTTGAGATGGAAGTGTGCGTGCACCCCTATGCTTCAACCACTTGGTACATCCAAAATGGCGTCTCGCGTAATTCAGGTATGTCCTGTTTTCATAATTTTCTCGATTTCTACTATTGTTTCGAATTTTGAAAACCTACGAAAAATGTACTGTAGATCTCTAGCATCGTAGAGTCACTAGGTACGTTTGTAGGTGGCCCTTCCGACGAGGAGCCTGGCTGTGTTGCATCGAAGTCATGAAGGTCAAACTCTCCAGGGATCATCTTCAGCTTTGTCGTTGTGACAAATAAATAGCTTAAGTACCGGTATACTCAGTTGCACAGTTCTTTTTCACATCAGTAGCACTGTACAGTACCATGATACAATTACAGTATAGGGAAAGTTACTATTGCATTGATTTTCGGGCCTCGTTGTTGTGTCACTTGTTGTTGTATCAAGGTATAATGTATCTATGCTTTCTGTACTATGATGACTGTCAAATGATAATGATAAATTGCTTGAGTAACTGCTTTTTGGCGATGATGCATTGTTTTTGTTGGAATTTACGGATAAAAACAAGTCTTGTTTCAATACGTTACCAATACCTGCAAATCTGTGGAACTTTTGTAAACTGATTTGATGATAATTCATGTTGTTTGTTGTTGTTGTAAACCACAGCAGGTGACGCCCCACCTGAGGATGATCAAGTTTAGGTATGGAGCAAACCAGCAGGTACAAGGTGAGACATGTGAGTAGTGCTTACTGGAATGGATGTGGTTTTGTCACTAACATCTGTCGCTGTTCTTAAATGTTAGATTCATCTAATGTCTCCTTTTTTCAACCTACTCGCACAGATGTTAGCAACTAAAAACATACCATGGCGTAGTTTCTTTCTTTTCAGGTCCTCTTCAACCACTAGTACTTGCATAATTCTTACAATTTGAGTATTTTCTGTTACTTCCAATTTGCTCAGACTCAGATACCAGAAGGTAATGAGTTGGAGATTGATAATAATATTACATTGTACAAAGCTGCTCCATGTTGAACTGTCAAACAATTTTTATATTGTAACTCTAGCCTCGGGAAGTGCACCGCAGGCCACACCAGCAGCTGATACAGCATCGTCCAAGCCACACGCAGTCGTAACAGAGTACCTGGAACAAGTCCCTGCCAGATATAGGAGAAAACCCATTGATGCTGAGGAGATGGAATATATTCAGGTTTGCTTAAGTCTCTTACTACTAGGCTGCAGGTACAAATGTACTAGTGTGGGATTTGTATACCTGGAGGTTAGCATATGGGGGACTTGTTGGATGTCAGTGGTATGTCAAAAATGATGAAACAAAGTTTTTCCCTCCCTTGCAGTGAAATTTTCTTTATATATTCACAAAGATTACTATGTCCTTATAGTCAGCTGAAAATGAGATAGTATTGATGAGGAATAGTGGTTTCAATTGTTGTTGATATCTCGTATTCCATTTGATTTCAATTCATGGCAAAACTTAGTATCCCTAACCCTTCCGAATCAACAGTTCTTTTTCTTGTATTACAGAGAGGAGGTCCTGAATAACTGCCCACCTTGCTGCTTTGCTGCTACAGAAGATATAACACTATATGTTTTGAAGTTAAAATGGCATTGACACAATGTTACCAATGTTTCAGATACAAACAAGTGCAGTGTAGACAAAGTTCTGCTTTTGCCTCTTGGCTAGAGTTGAGGTGGCTAGCTTGTTAATGCTAGATTAAGTTAAGTTATCAAACTGATCTCATTTGATCATCAATGACTCTGAGGCTGTGGGAGGGGAAAAGAGGCCAGATCTACCTCAGTTCCAGCCTGATTCACATTTGTGTACATAACTTATGTTGTTGACTAAGCCCATATTTGAATATTAGTTTAGTTTCCTTCAATAAGAAAATGAAGGAGTATACATGTATTTAATTTAATAGTGATATGGGTCTTGTACATTAATTTCTAATGAAAAAAAAATCATTTGTGTTGATTTGTTGGAAGAAACTTAAGACTCAGTTTTGTGAGTTCTTGTATGGACAATATCTAACAGAACAAATGATAGGATCAGCTGCCAGAGTTTTGAATTACCAGATTTTTATGCCATGTTTTTAAACTTGACCCTCAGATTATATTGATGCATTTCAGACATATTACTGATCGCTTTTGTAAACACAACATACACCATAGGTGCTCAACTGCACAAAAAACTTCACAGTTTGAAGTATCTACACAGTAAATCCCTTTTGTTGTCAGGTTGGAGAGTTTTTCCCCAGGGTTGTTCCCCAGGCTAAAATTTGAATACAAATGGATGATACATGTATGCTGTTATGTCTTTAAAGACATGTAAGAATTGTACAAGTTATTCTATATGAGGTTTTAGACATTCATTGTACTGGAAGGGAAGGAAATAAAACAGCACAGTACGTGCCATGCTTATGTGGTTTGTCACAGGTGTTGTGTAGTTGACTTTTAGGACAAAGTAAATATAAAACATGTAAACAGTCGATGGAAATGGAAACTTGAACTTCATTGTAGGTATTTGCCACATACTACTGTTCAAAAGGCTCAACAACGAATAAAACTGTAAAGGCTATCAGCTAACAGACAGTTCTTGAGACTTCGTTTTTATTGCAATAGACCCTAAATAAAGTAAAACCTTTTATACAAGGAACTGTTTTACTTCCACAGTCATAAGTCTAACAAGTTAGTAACATAATGGTAATGATGTCATGACTAGATCTCTAATGGTTACATTTATATACACAATTTTTATTGCATCTGTGTATGATAAGATACTACATGTAGTACATAAAATTGGTAAGAGATACATTATTATAGGAACAAGTATATGATGAGCAGGCTGTACACTTCACACTTTAATACTGTTAGATGACTTGATCAATGACACTGCAGTGGCTTGTAGTGGATTGGTTGGCAGGACTTTGATTGGCAGATCCCACACCATTGTATCCACGGCAACAGTGCTTGGCCCTTGCCATGTGGCAGATTCTGATTGGCCGGTAGGAAGTTCTGGTTGGGAGATGGGGCTACAGGCCAGCACAAACTCAAAGTGGAGTCTCCACCTAACTGTGACTGGAACAAGAAATAGTGGATATCAGACCCCCATGAAGCATTCAGCATAGTTTTATTCAATATTCTAAAATGCTGCCTTACTTCCCTACCATTCCTTACCACAAAAAAACAATTTTACTACTAAAATCAAAGAACCCACATATTATAGAAGAAGTGGGTAAATTCGTCTTCCATTGCCTAAAAAGAAGAAGTCAAACCCAGTAAAACTAGTGTCATGTCATGTTGTAGAATATAGTATAATGTTAGAAGTAGATATAGTCTCACATACCACTGTATTTTCTTTCTATGTTGTTTGTAACTGCAATTAGCCCTCGGGCAAGTATTTGCAATAAACTTTCATTAATATTGCAAATTTCATTATTGCTAATTCTGTACACAATCTGTAGACAAAAGAAATCTCCAGTACCTATATCTGTCATGAAGGAGGGTGTGGCTGACAGCGGGATGGGCAGGATCATGTGACCCCGCTGTGTGTGCAGGCAGAACTCGTGATGGCGGCTGAAGGACATGGTGGCCACGGCCTGACTTGGCTTCCGACGACACTCCTCCGCAATGTGCTCCTCACTTTGTAAGGTCACAGTGAACTAAAACAAGAAAGCACAAAGCAGCGTCTATTGCAAAAACTTTGAAACTCTTCCAACAAATGTGGCTGGAGAATCTGTAAACTATAAACTCCAAAAACGATAGTTTGTCTTGATACTAAAAAGAGATGGGAATTTACTAGTAATAAATTCCAAACTTGACTGGGGACTCATACCTGCATACAGGGAACTGAGCACCAGCATAGTCAAAGCTGCCCACAATGTCCTCTCCTATTCTGTATGCTGACTTGAACAGTGTGAACTTCCCAACTGTTCCACGCTGGTTAGTTATGTTGTACACGTCTGAAATAGATTGTAATGATATGGCAATAAAATACAAACTGACACAATACCTGTGAATGTGATGGATCTTATATCATTTTTTATGCATTGTATCTGCAATATGCATCAAGCATTATTTGCTATCTACATGCACATCTACATCCAAAGAAAGAAAAAAATACTTCTTCTTATATTGCAGTAACTAAAAATGATAGCAAACTTCAAAATGGTAAACAAAGGTTACATCATATAGGGACTATAAATCAGTCCATACCCCATGGTAATTACATGTATACACCAGTATACCAAGTAAATAGCCTATTGCTATGTAGTGTAAGATCTCTTACTGGGACTTTTCCTGGCCGTGATGGTTGTGAGGACCTGGCTGGCCAGTTCTAACAGAGACCCTTCCTGCCGCTGCTCCTCCAGGAAGGGGTTACTGGGAGGAACCTCCTCATATACAGTGGGATCTCCCAAATCTGCTGCAAACAATGTACCATTAGTATAGAGAATCGACTTGTACTCTTACTCATGTTCTACTGCTTTGGGCAGCCTAAAGATAGTAAATTTACTCAGGAATTCAATATGTGATAAAAAATTAACATTCTATTGACTGTAAAGATATCATGGCAGTATGACTATGAGAAGGTAAGCAGAGGAGGCTTCAATCCTAGATAACGATGAAAACAGGCTCACCATAAACTACCAGCACCCTGAAAGGTACTCTCAACAGTTTAGTTGGGGCACCGACTCTCTGTGTGCCAATGGTGACTTTGTAGGAATATTTGACGGAGTGTCCTCTGTAGGAGGGCGGGGCTTCACGTGGGATCACCTCTCTGTACAAATCTGCAGCAAGCAACAGAGGCATGGATAAGTTAAGAAAATCAAACTGCAATGTTGTTTGATCATGAAGAAGAAATTGTTAGAATATGAAGTAATTTCTGGATAGTGGTACTTACAGGTTTTGGTCTCTCCTTGGTGGAGCTTCAGGTCACAGAAGAGGATTCTGGGAGCAGTGGACAGGACCGTATGACCCCGCTCACCTGAAGGTCACACAAAAGACATGCAAATCAGTTCTCAATTGTTGATAAAACTTACTAATACTAGTAGCTGAATGCACATGGTTCATATTTTCATCAACTAATGTTAGACATCACATCATATTCCTGATGAACAATGGGGATTATGCACAAAAGTGAGAGTTCTGACCTCTGCTGGGGATGAAGACTGTGTCGCTGCCCTCCTGTCCATGAGGTACCTCCCCAGTGTCCTCACCTGGCCACACCACACGGGCCTCACTCACACTACACTGGCAGTGCAGCTGTGCACTGGCCCAAGCCAAGGACTCACTGTCACTATAATTTGGGACAAAAATGATTAGTAGTACATTTTTGTAGTAAGACATGGTCTCCATAATTTTCAAAATCCCTCCCTTCATCTATCAACATTATGCCAAGGAGGTTAAATACAACCTCCTTGATTATGCCAAGCAAAACATAACGCTACATGTACTACTACTAGGAGAAAACTCGTCGTGTTTGTTACCTGTTGAGAGGAACTGCACTGTCTGATGTCTGGTTGGTGAATGACACGAAACATTCCAGTACTTCTCCTGCTAAGTACACAGTTCTGTCCAGTCTAGCCTCCACAACTATCATGGTGGTATTTTTTTCACACTTCACCAAACTCGGCTTAGCAGCACACTAGATTCACTTTCTAGCGACAGGTAGGAAACGGTAAAGTCAGTAGTACCTTAACCGTTACACAAGACTCACAAACGTTTTAAAGTCGATGTCTCCACTTGTTGTACGTAAATATGGTTCTGTTGGCGTTACTAGTTGTTCACGGACCAAAATTCAAAATTCAGGTCTAGATGGGGAGGGGGGATTTAAACACGTCACGTCGCGTCCGGAGATCCTCTGCATGCAGTGCTAATTTCGACGAATTTGCAGCGAACAAACGAGACCCTTCTCTTCTTTTAGTGTCCTCTCATCGACAACCTTTGCTTCTCGGTTCCTCCTGAGACCGGCATCGCAGCAGTTGAGGGAAAAATCGTTGCTCAAAAAGCGTTGTTTTTACCGATCAACGCAGCCAGCTGACTCTTTCTGTCAGAACTAGCGGAAAGTTAGCAGATGGTTCGTAGTAGGCGTAGTTAAGAGGAGGCAAAAGCTAGCTTCCTATTTGAACATCAGCCGATTCGATTGCAAGCTTACACGACGCTGTCAGATGTCATCCGTCACAATACTAAATGTTTAGTTACGAAATGTTGGTTTTGCATTATGCTACAAACGTTTAAGTTGATTGGATAGTTTTACATTCGTTATTTGCCCAGGTAGAAGTACAATTTAAGTGCGCCCCCTAGGGATCCCAAGGGGCCGTACCATAGCAAGGATTGGCTTTGAGAACGATTGAACGTGGACTTTTCAGATAGAGAGACAAATAGATAGAAATGCATAACAAATTAGAAAGACTTATAGCGGAGTATTGCAATGACAAGGTGATGTTCATTGTTTTTCATAGGTCATGTAATATTTCATAAAACACCTCTATTTTGTAGAACAGGTGATTAATGATGAATATATTTCCGTGCGCCTTTCAATTTGTGGGTGTGTGCGGTATAGGTAATAGCGGATTTCCAAGCAGATATTGGGTGATTTGTGCCGACTGAGAAAGATGCTGGACTGATCTAAAAATACCAGAAGGCAAATTCCAGTTGCAAACAATGAGACTTTATTCTGCTCTGTTGTAGTAGGAGGCAGAGTATATAATATTACCAGTCAAAAATAGATGTCATCATTGTTGCCTTAATATTAAGTGCCCTTCTTTGTACACTTCACATAAATATTATTATTCACAAACATAACTTTTCATCAGCAATAAATAGATGATGTCATAACCAAAATAGATGATCATCTTGAAATTTACATATTGTTAAAAGGGCTCAGTATACATAACAATGTACATATTTGAACTTCAGACAAATATGAAACAGTTGGCTAAACTTTCCTCAACATGAATAACTAGAATAAATGATAACAACACTATCTACTCAGAAAACATGTCAATCCTACTCAAACATTATGTACAGAACAGACCCTACAGGTGTA